AAGGACCAGCACTTCAAGAACCTGGAATGGGGAATGTCCAAAGGGACGAAATAAGCAGGAAACCAAAGAATTGCCACAAGGAAGCAGAACAGCAAGGAACCTCCTCTTCTCATGTCATTTACTCTTTTAGTCCAGGTCTGAACAAAATAAACCCACAGCAAAAGAGCCCCCAGCTCTTTACATGTACCTGCCCCTGGAGCAGCCAACACCCCACACTGGAACAGACAGAAGGGCATTTGCAGGTGGAAAAGCAGGCTCCTCTCAGCTTCCATGCATTTGTGAGCCCGAGTTACCTAAGCCCTGTTTTGGGGATCCAAGGAACAGCCTGCACATGCTAAAACCACTGCCCTTCTGCAAGATTACATCAGGCTGTACAGCCACACCTCCCAGGGCAGATCTCAGACTTTTCCAACCCCCACTTTGAAACCAGTGAAAGGATTTTGAGTTGATTGAGTGCCTTGATGTGAAATATCATTTCTAACATGAACAAGGCACAAGTGAAGCATCTGTTTGCATATCAAGCACAATTAAAGTTGACAAAACTGATTACAGCAAAAATATCCCCACTGGATAAACTAAACCAAACATTTTATTTTGATTTTTTGAATTATCAAATAAATTAGCAAGTATTAGATTCAAAAGGGGCTAATTTCTCTTGTCACTCAAAAGGGGAAAAACAAGTTCCATAAAGAGCCTGATGCATGCTTGTAAATGAAAGATCTCAAAGGCAGCCTTTTACAACTCAGCCCTCAAAATTAATTTGGAGTTCTGCATCATCAGAGTGAATATCAGCACTTACACAGAGGCAGGACTGGGGTCAGCCAGGGCAGGGGACTCACCGTAGCTTCACGTTCTGCCCCGTGTAGGACTCGTAAGGTTTCTCCACGTGTGTGAACTCAAAGTCAAATGTCTGTGACTGAGTGAACTCCCCAGGCCGGGCCAGGTCCTTCACCAGGGACACGAACTCGTGGTGGTTCCCTCGGTCATAGTAGAGTTCTAGGAAAATGGAAATCCAGGTTAAGCTTAACCCCAGCTTAATGTCCAGGTCACTCCTTCCTTCCTTCAATACCATTCACAGAACCTACCAGGGGAGCCCATGGCTCCACAGAACTGCCCTTGTTCTCTGCTCTCCATCAGAGCCAGGTGCAGGCCACTTTCCTCCCTGAAACAGGAAAAGATCCCCACAGCCTCCCTTACTACAATAAACCAAGAACTTGCCTTGAACATGAGTTGCTTATTATCAATATTAAATATGGTTTGCAGCTCACACAAACCCTTCCAATAATTTTCTGCATTGTATTCCAGGCTAAAGGCATTGCCACTGTGAGGAAAAACCACCATGGCCTGTCTGGAACAGACACTGACAGAACAAAACCAAGGGGATAGGATTATTCCAACTGTTCCTGCTTATCCTCAGACAGCAAAGAGCTTGAGTTGCTCTGAGCTGCAGCAGGGAATAAATGACAATGTTGATCCCGCTGCACAGCTGCCCCATGTGTGCTGAATCCACTGCTCCTCCAGCCCATGGATCACACATTAATGGTCATGGTGAAGGAAGAGCTCTCACCTCTGGAAGCACTGCTCAAACCAGCTCAAGTGACCAGCATTGCCTCGCTTTTCCCCACAACCTTCCCACATCAGCAGGAAACTAAACGTTTCCTCATTTAATGAAAGCAATCCTCCACACCTCCACAGAGTTTTCTGCCACAAGACAAAGCAACAAAACCCTTAAAACTCTGCAATTTGCATGAACAGCTTGGGATTACCCAAAAGCATCAATGAAACCTGCCCTTCCCAGCCCTGCGTGTGAGCCTGTGCCTACAGGACACCCACACAGTCCTTCTGCAAGGCAAAGCCTTTCTGCTTAGATGAGCAAACAAAAACCTAAGTCATCACACAATCACACACACTCAAGCTCAGTGTCAGCACTAAACTGTGCAGAGGAGGCTTCTGAGAGGTATTAGAGGTGCTCAGGAACTGCAGTTCTGCCCTCCTTGAGATGCACAATGAGATTTCAGCTTTTAAGTGATGCCTGTTTCTCACAGCCCTTTGCTCACCTTATCTCTCTAATGGAAATTTTGGCACTAGAGCTCTCCTCACTTAAGCACAACACCAAATGTCACCAAGCCCTTTAGGCTGGGCAGGTGACATAAATAACCAAGCCTCTCTCAGTGCACCGAATTTGTGTGTCCACTGAGAGGAAAGAGCTCACTGATGTGACAGGGAGAAGCCACGTGCCAACAGAAAAAGAGGAACCAGCCACACAAAAAGAGGAATCAGCCCAGACCATCGTGACACAGGATGCAGAAGGCACAAATCAAACTTTAGGCAAGGAGAGAGAAATGTCAGCGCACTGAGCTCTCTTCTACCTCAGAAGGTCATGTTTGGCATCCTGCAGAGTGATGTTTCCCACACTCCAGCCCGTCAAACAGGTATAAGCTGTAATTTCAGCTTTTCAGAGCTGTAAGGTTTCCAGACTGAGAAAATAACCTGCCATTAATAACAAACAAAATAACAAGCCACCAACATTTCGGTGGCTTGCTCAGGCCACAGCCACCAGAGGTAAAACCATCTGGAATGGGTTCCATGCTCACCTGAGAGCAGGCAGGACCCAGCACTCAGTCTGGCCTATGGTACCTGCTCTGGAGCATCTTCCCTGTAAAACATCCCTCCTTCTCCTCCCAGTCCCCCTGCCTGATAAATAGTCTCACCTCCACGCTGACCTCGTGGCAGCAAGAAGTCAGAATACCAGGCCTGAGATGGAAAGCACTGAGAAGTGCAATTAGTGGTACAAACTTCAGTGATTTATCTAAGAGCCCTGAGGGGAGTAAGGACTAATGTGCAGCCACAGCAGCTGGAACACACCCTGTTTGGGCAATAATGTGCATACAAAGCAGTTATTCCATACAGGCCTGGCTCAAAAGTCATCCAAAACAGGGAATGAGGAGCAGGCAAGGCAGCACAGCAGAGACAGCGGAGCAGGAAACAAAGTTCATGCTTAATTTCCACTGCCAACCATATCAACAGGAACTCATAACCTGGTTCCTGATGAATAGCCTCCATCATTTACACGCTCCCCTCCTTCCCAAAAACCAGAGTCAGGCACAAGCAAAGCCAATAAAACTCAAACAGCAGCATCAGGGTTGGGTGGGAAATCTGCTCACGTTCTCTCACCACACGATTTGCAATGCAAAGGCTGCAGGCCCCTGGCTCCAGCAGTGATTTTAGGGTTTAGAGCCGAGCACAGAGAGCCACAGATGTGAGGCCTCACACGCAGCCACATCACTGGGAAGGCACATCCTGGACTTATTTTGGCTGGTGGGACTCAAGGCATGTCCGTGGAGCACGGATAGCTCCGCTCCAATGGACAAGTGGGTGTGGCACCTGCCCTTCCTCTACGAAAGCAGGAAATATTAAACCTGAATTGGTTACACGCACAGATAACCACGAGTTTTGAACAGCCTGAAGTCACCCGACCAACCGTGCAGAGATGCGTGGAGTAGAAGGTGGGATCAGCCCAGCTGAGCCTGCAGGCCTCAGGAGAGGTGATCCACCCAGGTAAAAGGGACATATGGACAAAATCCATCCGATCAGCATCCCTAGGCTGGCAGTAAGGATCAGCAGGCACACGAGAGAAGCAGGAGCAGCCAGCCTGGATGGAGCAGGGCCTGGCAGCTGGCGTTGGCAGCAGGTCTGGGCTCACCTGCAGCTGCAGGACGGAACCAAAGTGTGCCCAGCTCAGAGCTGAAATCGGTGACCAAGAAGTGAGAAATTAGGACAGGAGAACAATGACCTGGAAAAGGACTGGAATGCCCTTCCTTCTGCCAGGGTTCAAGCCTGGAGAACAGGCCAGGCTGCCCAGCTCGGAGAGCGGAATCATTTCATGCAGCCATGGGAATGCTGCATGCAGCCGAGCATCGCTCTGGAGCGAGAGGAACCTGCTCGATACCAGTGGGATCCCAGCACCGTGGGGCACAGCAATGCCCCCAGACCCCGGTACGAGTGGGATTACCACAGGATGCAGTGATGCTCCCTGGCCCCACAGCATCAGCAGTGCTCTCTGGACCCCTGGCACCCGCAGGTATCTCCATACTATTGGGTTCAGCAATGCTGCCCAGACCCGTGGCACCAGTGATCCTCCCTGGAGCCCCGGTACCAGTGGGACCCCGGCACCGTGAGGTGGAGCGATGCTCCCGGCACCCACGAGGGGCATCAGGAAGGGATACCCGGGCCCGCAGGCCGCCCCGCTCACCGATCTGCCCGATGAACTCCACTTTGATGCCCTGGTGCTCCAGCCGCTTGTTGGGGTTCTTGAGGGTGAGGACCACCCTCCCCGACACGGTCTCGCCGTCGTAGAAGAGGAAGTATTTCTCCTTCTTGCCTTCCTCCGTCTTGTGCTCCACCCGCCGCCGGCTCTCGGCGTCGCTCAGCACCAGCTCCAGCTCCGGGCTCTGCCCGAACCCGAAGAAGCTCATGGCCCCGGGATGCGGCGCGGGGCGGCGCGGGCGGACCCCGCGGCCCCGCTGGCGGATCGCGGCCGGGGCGGGGCTGCGCGCGGCGGCGGCGACGCCGGAGAAGGGGCCGGGGCCGGGGCGGCGGCGGCGGCGGTGCGGGG